AATTAGGTTTTGAGGTAGGGCTTTGGGCAGTAGGTGATGGGGCTGTTTTTGGGGTGGAAAAGGGTGATTTGGAGAAAGGGGATGGGCGAACCAAAGGGGCTTTGTTCCTCTTAAGTTGAGACTCAACTTTAAGAGCCAATTTAGAGAGTTCTTCAAAGGTGTCATAGGGTTGCAACTCCACTATATTAGCTATTTGGGTGTTAAGTCCAAATAGATATCGGACTAACGTTTGAGAATCATTTTCTTGAAGATCACATCTCATCAAGAGCTCTTCAAACTCCCGAGTATAGTCTCAACAGACCGGGTACCTTGCCTTAAGTGTTGAAGCTTAGCAAAGTTGTCTCGTACGTATTGTTCGGGCAAGAACTTCTTCTTCAACAAGCTCCGCATTTTGAACCAAGTTTTCACCGGAGCCTTGTTTTCACGCCTTCTTTTGGTGGAAAGATTGGACCACCAAGTGGACGCATACTTTCGGAACTTCAACGCCACAATCTTGACTTTCTTATCTTCGGGCACATCCTTGAAATCCAGCCACTCTAGAAAGTCGTCCGGATCATTCTTTCCTTCAAAGGTTGGTATGTCAACCTTAAAATCAGTAGCTCCCTTTTCTTGTGCAGTTCCTTTAGTAGTGTGACTAAAATCAGCTTCTAGTTGAGCTTCTTCCTTTTCTTCATCACTTTCTTCCGGAGCGTTCACCAAGTTCATTTTTAACCTAACATACTTGTTATTCCTAAAGCTAAGCAACAATATGTTTGGTGGGACAATTAAGGATGCACTCTTAGAGGCTTTAGTAGTGTGACTAAAATCAGCTTCCGGTTGTTAACCAATAATTCTCATCTTAGATCTTCGTATCTAATAAACAACGATGTTACACGACATCTTCAGCTTCCTGCCAGGCAACCACCTAAAAGGAGACTTGGTTCCGGAGCGTATGAACCTAACATACTTGTTATTCCTAAAGCTAAGCAACAATATGTTTGGTGGGACAATTAAGGATGCACTCTTAGAGGCTTTGGGTAAAGCACCCAACTTTTTGTACTTTGATATCTCAAACAATAAGATAATTGGTGAGCTTCCTGGAAGGTCAAATTCCAAGCAAATTATGCAATCTATCCAAGATGAACTACTTAGGCCTCTCTCAGAATAACTTTAGGGGAGCAATACCTTCATGCTCCAATTTATTGGCTTTACAGTATATCCATCTGGGCAAGAACCGCCTCACAGGGCAAATACCGCATGAATTATCAAGCTGGTCAAGTTTAAGGTTACTCGACCTGATGGATAATCAACTTTCAGGCAATATTCCATCATGGATATACATGCTTTCAAACTTAACAATACTCTTGTTGGGAGGCAATGATCTCTACGGCCCAATTCCACATCAGATGTGTCAGTTGGTATCTCTCAATATATTAGATCTAGCAAGGAACAGGTTATCAGGTGATATACCCATATGCTTAGGGAATATGCCACTTGGGATGAAAATGTATGATTATCACGACTACCTATGGGATTTGGGAACCCCATTTTTGAAGATTTTAGAAATTTTCCTATTAACCCTATAACGTTAGAAGTTGAGTTCCTTGCGAAGAAGAATCATCTTTCCTTCAAAGGTAGCAATCTTCGACTTATGTCAGGACTTGATTTGTCTTGCAACAATCTCATTGGGGTCATTCCATTAGAACTTGGATACTTGACATATGTCCATTCGATTAGCTTGTCACGTAACTTCAAAAAATGAATTATCGGAGTACATAACTTTTAGACATTGTGGGGCTTGTTTTGGCCGTGCTCATTGCGCAGAAGAGCCAAAAAGACACAAAAGCCCTCGCCCTTGCATGTTTCATCTCAGGCTTTTAGCGTGTCTCATTCAGGCGGTCAGCGAGATGGGAGGGAGCAACACCTTTGGGAACGTCGCTGGAGTCCTTATCATCGTATTTGTGACCACCAAAGACGTGGCAAGAAAGACTTCTTACTCGTGGTGGTCCAACAAATCTGTGGCGCTGCGAGCGACATATGCTCTTACATTTGAAATACAGCAAGACGAGGAGGAGGAGCAAGAGGGGAGGGGGGGGCAGATGCTGCTGCCATCACATGATGAGGAGGGGTTTCCATTGCTTACTGTTTCTACTTAGAGGAAATTTTATACTCCCTAAATGTTTTGCTCTCTGTCAAAGTAGTATTTTTTTTGGTGTGAACATTTGCAGAATTTGATGTCAAGTTTTGTACACCAAACTTTATGATAGGAAGCAAAGCATTTAGTGAGTACAAAATTTTTTCTAAGTAGAAATAGTAGGCAAAGGAAACCCCTCCTCATCATGTGGCGGCGTCTGCCACCCCTCTTGCTCCTCCCTCGTCTTGTTGTTTTTCCAATGTAAAAGCAGTCGCTCGCAGCGCCACGGATTTGCTGGTCCACCACGAGTAAGAACGTCTTTGGTGGTCACAAATACGACGATAAGGACTCCAGCGACGCTCCCAAGGGTGCTGCCCCCTCCCATCTCAGTGACCGCCGCCTGAATGAGACACGCTAAAAGCCCCCAGATGAAACATGCAAGGTCGAGGGCTTTCGTGTCTTTCTGGCTCTTCTGTGCAATGAGCACGGCCAAAACATACCCCACAATGTCTAAAAGGTATGTCCATTCGATTAGCCAATGCCATAGTTGTCTTTTGTATCTCACAAGTATTATATTTCTATGTCTAAGACTTTACTAGGTACTTTGTATCTTGTTGCAGAATAATAAATTGAAATAATAAAATACTTCAACTCTCTATGATATGATTTTATGCTACAATCCATAGTCACATGATTCAATCTAGTTTCATTCTAATAATCTGTTTGGCTATCCAGACCTCAATGTATTGCACAGAGCAAAAGAAAGATTTGGTTGGATTTTTTCACCAACATTTTTCTAAGTGAAAGGGATGACTATTAGAGAGATTAGATTCATTTTGGGACTTAATTGAACAATATATAGCTCTCAAATGGTCGGTGTCGTGTTGAGAGATCTTTTCTCTTTAAAGAATACAATCATTAATATAAAGAAGGTAGGTGTTTTTTATGTACATATAAGTTAGACATAGTTTTTTATAAGTTATTTTTAACTTATTAGCTAGTTGTGACAACTCGAAAACAGCTTCTCTATTTTCGAATATGAGTAAGGTTTGGGTATACACACCCTCTCCGAGCTTTACTCTTGTGAAATCCAACCGTGTTGTTGTTTTTATTGTTTGTCGTTGTAGTTAGTTGATGACATTTTTTTTGTGTTTAAGCTATTTAAAAAAATAAATAAATCTAACCTACTTATAAACTCATTTTTACATTTTTTCTTCCTTTGACCAAATTGTTACACAACTATCTCTAATCGTTTATTCGTTTATGAAGGATCCATCTCTCATTTTCGTCACTTTATTTTGTGAACAAATGTTGCACCCCCAATAAACACCAACACGGTGAAATATCATCTATTTATTTTCAAGCTCATTATTTGTTTTTTATTTAGACTAAATTATTATAAAACTTTCTCTAATCGTTTATGAAGGATCCATAAACGTTTATTTTGACTAAATTACTATTTTTAAGAATCCATCTCTCATTTTAATCGTTTATTTTCACTATATATATATCTCTGTGTGTGTGTGTGAAAGTAGGAGTGGGCACGGGTCGGGATGGTTCGAGTTTTATATCTTCCTGGGTTTTGTCCCATTTTTTTCAAACGGTTCGGACTACAAGCTTATTCTTCTTTGTCCCTTAATACTCATGATTGGGATAAAACGAAGTGAGTTCGAATTGTCTTACTTTGTCATTGTCTAAAATCAGATATAAAAATATGTTCCGAGCTTATAGGGTTCTGACGGCGATTGTCGGGAAATGGAGCTTCTAGGGTTCTGACATTGTACAGATTCGATGTTTCCGAGCAGCATGCCGGGCTTAACGATGGCGTTTGGAAATGTGTTTACCTTTTTTACTCCCATCGCTCCCAGCCTCCATTGGTGGATTTCTGCCATGAATGGATTCCAATTTCTAAGTGAGTTCAATTAACTTTAATTTTGTTTTTTTAAAGTATTTAGTTTTATTTCCTTATTAGATGAACATTAGGTTTGTTGTTTTTTTATAGAGGAAATTTGGAAGTGATTTGGATAGTTAATTGCTCATTAATTTATTTATTTATGCATTTTATACTAGTAGTTCAATCATTTTTTTAAAATTGTTTTTGATTTTCTAAGCTTTGGGATAATGTCATTTGATGCCTTACTATAAGTCTATAACCACATTTCAATTTTATATTCCTATCCCATTTTTCTTATCTATTTTCAATCCCCTTTTTGTCTATAGAAATTCAAGACAGATCTTTGAAGGTTTAGATGATGAACTAAACGCCATATCGGAGTTGGCTAAGAATGCAGAAACCGAAAAGTCCAAACAAAATCTCAAAACTGAAGCGTACAGCAGCAAGATTTTGACGAAGCAACGGTTAGGAATGAAATCGTTCCCGGATTCAGATGATGAATATAACAATGGCAAATCAGGTAAAGTTTCACATCAGAGAATGCTCATAAAATGCATTGAATCATTTCCGCTTAGAAAAGTACTTTTGTCGTCAAGTGAAAAGTTCATCTTTCTCCGGGTCATAACTCTATCCATTATGACTTTCTACCTTCTCTAGTTTCGAATGAAAATTGCCTAGATTCGTAATGCTCAAGTCCACACCATTCTATAGAAAGACGACTGGGTTGATTTGATCTAGCCCATGGTTGTCTAAGTCAAAACCTCCGCTTGCTCTTATCGCGCGTGAATTATTCTAACGGATTTTCTGTTACCGCTGGAGCTGTATCCGAGTCAGGGCGTTCATGAGGTTGAGCTCGTGACTGGGCCGTAATAGCGAAGCGAACTCCATACATTAAAATCAAACGAATGTGAACATAAAGTATGTTCACATTCATTCTATTGTTAATATATGCAAAAAGTTCATAATGGACAATTATTTAAGACCGAATGGAGTAAAAATCAAGAGAAAATAACTTTCTTTATCATTGTGTTCCCTTTTCAAAGCAGTTTCCGTGATGCCAACAATCAAACACAATTAATTTGATAAATTCAAGGGAAGCTGGTTTCTGGGACAATTAATTTAACCACCCCTAAGTTTTGCTGAGCACATAAAGTCCCAACCCAGGCTTAAAAAGACTAGTATATAAGAATGTGAATTGCTCAGCCCTTTGTCAATTTGTTTTGGAATAAAATCCCATAATTCTATAGGTTAGAAAAATCTTCCCTTTTTTTTGAAAAGAACATTGCATTTACTCAATTTGTCAACTTGTAAAGCATTGCAAGTACACACTGGAACCATATCCCCTCTTCAATTTAATTTAATGCCCCTAAGTGGGCTGTATTGAGAATATAAAAAGGACAAATACATAGTGCATAACAATGTGAGTTAACTCTTGCCTCCGTCAATTCGTTTTGGAATTTCAATTTCATTTTAATACTTTCCTTTCCCTTGTGACCTATGTAGTGCACAAGAAACGAAGGGCGGCCCCAGAAGATATATCAAGGATTGCGCTTCAAGATCTTGTCAAATATTTCAACCTTCCAATTACAGAAGCTTCAAGAAGCCTGAAGATTGGACTGACCGTACTTAAGAAGAAGTGTAGGGAATTCGGTATCCCTCGGTGGCCCCACAGAAAGATCAAATCTCTCGATAGACTCATTGTAGATCTCCGGGTATATACATTGTTAATCCATCCACGTTACGGTATAAAGAGCTTTTTATGAACCTCTAAACATCCGTTTAAGCTTCTTGATTGGGTTGTTTCTTTGTGACACCAGATAAATATGAAATTACAAAATTCATTAATCGTGTGAATTGTAGGAAGAGACGCAACAACAAAATGATGGCGAGGATACAACGATGGTGGTGTCAACAAAGAAGAGAATGGTAGAGTTCGAAAGGGAAAGGATAGAGAAGAAGCCATATATGGATGGACATACAAGAAGAAACCAAAAAAAAGGTTTAGACAAGGCGTTTTCAAAAGAAGGCACAAAGCTAGGGCTATGGAGAGAACAAATCCAAATCTTTCATTTTCATTCGATATGCGAGAGAAAAGATCCTCTGTACCAAAAATGTTGTCTCACTCTCATGATTCACTTTCGAGATTCTGCCACATAGTACAATAATGAAATGAGTTCACATTTTTTTGTATTATGCGGCAGTATGGGGATTCGAGATAGGGAATCCCCTACCTAAATGCCAATCTTTCATCCCCTTTTGGATGTTTTTTTTGGAGATGTAGTTGTGAGTAATATTACCATTTTCCATCTTTCTCATGTTTCCCCCTTCATCTCCTAGTTATTTTCTTCTTATTTTTTCAAGTTATTAGATGTTTAGTTTAATTATTTTTTTTGTTCGTTTTCAATGTTTAGAACTCTATTTTTAGAATGCCAAGGTTCTTTAGGCATACTACCTGCAGCTGCATGCCATGCCCCTCCCCCAGTTCCCTCTCAACTTTTGGTTTAAACAAATACTCCAAGACCTATTAAAATAATTTGATTTTGATCTTTTGTTTGTCCAAAAAGAAAAACAATCTCTTTGTTTTTGAAGTGAAGAATATTTGTGTCCTTTCAATCAATTCTAACTATGTTTATTTACTTTTCAGTATTTTTTTTTAATTTCATGGACTTCATGTTAATTTGTTTTAGATTTGAATCTTAGTGGTTTAGATTAAATTTGAAAATATTAAAATTAGATACTCCATATTTTTATTCTCTTCGTCCCAAATTGAAATTGGTTGTTTCAATTTACTTATGATTTTGATTATAATTGTTTTCAATTTAATTTATATGAAAATTATGGTGGAATTAAAAAATAAAATTGCTCATAATACATACCGAGTATTTAGAAACTATATAAAAATAATACTCCATAAACAAAACTAGATATGAGATGATTATTTTATTTTATGAAGTGACTAACAAATATAAATAAAAAATAATGAAAATCGACTATGTATAATTTGATAATTTAGTTTGGGATAAAAAATACGGAGTATTAAATATTGAAATTTTCAAAAGATGCATAATCAGAAAGAAAATTGAGAAAACTTCATATTAAAGTCGTGACACAAAGTATTTAAAAAAGTCATCACACAAATCCTCAAACCTACTTATTCCTTCACAATCAAATATTAGAGTGTATTCTTTATTCATTTTTAAACAACAATACTCTTTTGATAATATATAATTTCAACATATAACTTTTACCGCTTTCAAAACAATATCAATCTCAATCATTAAAACTTAACACCTTTTAAAAATATTGTTCCAAAACAAAAATGTACTTCGTAATTTATAGTTTTACATACAAACTTCAAAAATTATTTCGAGTACTCTCAATTTTATATGAATGATCCTCGGGTCTCACATTATTTGAAACATGAAATCCTTAAAATTAGTGGTAATGTACTCATTGGATACATTCCATCTATTTGACCATTAATATTAAAAATTTTGGTATTTTGACATATACGAAATTTCTTCACAATTATTGTTTTATTAAATTTCAATAAAATCCTTCAATTTTCAAAGTAAAAGAATTTTTAATCATAATACCTAAATAAACGAAATGTACTTTTGAAATATAATATTATACTCCCTCCGTCCCTAAATAAACTTCCCTTTTTGACTTTTTGATGATTTAAATGAGAAATATTTTTGTGTTGACTTTCCAAAAATACCCTTGATGTGATGTGTAAAAGTAAGATGTGATATGAAGATTATTAATAAAAAGTTATGATGTGATAGGTAGGGTATGAAAAAGTAAGGGGTAAAAGGAGTTTTTTAAGGGAAAAGAGAAGTTTATTTGGGAACAAAGAAAAAAGGAAAAAGAAAGTTTATTTAGGGACAATGTGAGTAAATTTTAAGGACTCGAATTATATTTTGTACCCCCTTCGTCCCAAAAAGTTTGTTACGTTTAGAAAAAACTGCGTACCGTAAAGTCCGTTACATTTCTATTAAAAACCCACTTTTACCCCTTACTTTTTCATACCCTACCTATCACATCATACCTTTTTTCTAATAATCTACCTATCACATCCTACTTTTACCCATCACATCAAAGGTATTTTTGGAAAGTTAATACCAAAATATTCATTATTTAATTTCCAAAAAAGTCAAACCGTCCCATTCTTTTTAGGACGGAGGGAGTATAATTTATTTCTATTTTGATATAATGCCTCAAATGGCCAAAATGTCCCCAATTCAATACACCCCTACTTTTTTTTACTTCCCATCTCACTCGTAACCAGAGAATCGTCTCCGGACAGTGCTTGCTACTCAGATCGGTGGAGACGAATCGGTTCACACATCGATGGAGGCGGTTCCGCCGCTACAGCTTTTCGATCGCCGTCGTGAGAGGGATGGATCCGCAGCCGTTTCTAATCGATCGTCGTTGTGTGAGGGACGGATCTGCAACCGCAGGATTACTGGAGACGAATATGCCGCCGGGAAGCAATTGATGTGTATGAAGGTCAGGCCAAGCCTTCTTTAAGTTTGATATACTACCACCCTCTCAAAACATTCCTTACAATTTAGTATTTTTTTGGTCAAATTTTACATCAGTTCAGGATATATTTATGGTGTATGTGTACATCAGTTTAACAAAAAAAATTGAGTAAAGAATATTTGGGAGAGTACATATAGTTCCCTTCAGTTAATTATGTGATTTTTTTTGTCCCCAGTTCCAAACCAATTGATACGGAGTATTTTCCAAGAATTTGACTATTCAAATGTTTTTTCGTTTTGAAATTGTACCAAATATTAGATGAGTCTTCACATTATTTCTCCATAGAATTTTACTTTTTTGGGAAAAATATGTGAGTGAAAGTTTTTTTTTTGTTTTTTTGGGAGAGTATGTGATAGGAAATGGTTTGGGTGATGATTGGCTGGCAGTCGGGCCGGGGAGAAAAACACGTTACCAAGTAAACATAGATGGGCTTGACTTGAGTCAACGTTTGTGAGTCAATGTGGGACCTCCCATGCTTGACTTGACTTGCTATCTAATTGGTCAGTCTATACATACAAGTCAAGGAGCTGATAGATTATTATTATTATTATAATTATTATTATAATTATCATAATAATATTATTCATATACATTTATTCTAAACTAAACTCCCATCCATACAAAGGGAAATGAGTGTAGTGTCTTAGTAGTAGTAGTACTTAACATGATGAGTAGTTCGCAGGAGGCATGTGGTCCTAATAATAATAGTAGTAGTAAACACTTGTTGTGGGTGTTGGCAGGTGGTCTACTACTATTGCTACTACTACTACAAACCGGCCATGGAGATTGTTGTGTCGAAGAAGAACGACTGGCTCTACTACATATCATGGCGCACATGAAATCGTTCGATCAATGGAATAACAACAGCATCTGGTCCAACTTTGACGGGAGAGAGAGATATAAATGTTGTGCTTGGGATGTGGTTCGGTGCAATCCGTTGACCGGACGTGTAAACGAGCTAAAACTTGGCTCATTGGTGGGGAGGGATTATGATGATTCCCCTCAAAATTTCATGTTCAACATGACACTGTTTCGGCCTTTTAGTCAGCTGATGAGCCTCGATTTGTCGCAGAATTACATCAATGGTTTCGTAGAAAGCAACGGTATTTACCATGTCTCAATCTTTTTATCTTTGTGTTACACTTATATGCTATCACATACTCCGTAGTAGTTTCCCATGGTGGAGGACTACATGGACTTTACTCTAAGCTAGTGTAGTAATGCATGTTCTTCTCTATACGTTCTACTATACGATGTTAGGAGTATTCATTTATTCTAATTTAGCTTAGGTCACCAGTAAAATCGGTGCGTATTTGTGTACTACTATATCTAAAGGGAGTAGCACCCCAACTCTGATGGCAGGTGGTATGGTTTTGGTCCGTTTCTCTATACTGATTTTTTTCATTTAAATCACTTTAACATAGTAAAATGCATGTCTTTATGAAATCTCCTGGCTAACGTTAATTTTTCCACCATAAAAATTTTAATCATCCAAATAACAATTATAGCTAGTAATGTGTCATAAACGTTTCAGAATTTGCAATTTTAAAATGTGGGTCACATTTAATTGCAATCTTATAAATAACATGAATGAGAAGATAATATCCACACCACTTTTCTTTAATAGAAGCAACAATATCTCACAAATATAAACCAGCTTTAGTTTCCTTGAAATAAGTGGCAATGATAATATACTCATAAAAAACATGTTACCACTTGGCTTGTACACATGTGAAAACAATAGAGTAGCATCATTAAATACTTTTTAAACATTTGTAAGTTTTTCCATCGAATCAAATTCATGCATCTCAACAATAAAAAGTACAATCATGTTTTGAAAAATAACTAAGCTCAATCTTATATCTCAAAATTACATGTATCAATTTATATGTACTATTCCAACTTAATGCACGTCTTTAGGAAATTAGATCCTATTTCGTTCTCCTAATCTAATTTATTCCATTTTGATTTTTTAAAGGTCTAGTGTGATCACTTTTGATTGGATCTGATTTTATCTTAATGAATTTGATTTCAATGGATCTAATCTGATCTGATTCAAATTAATGTTAAAATTAATATAATAAATTTCTTAATATTATGATAATCATTTATATAGTTATTAATTAATTCATCAATATATTTCAACCTAATGATTTTTATTTTAGATTTACTTTCTTTATGAGACAAAAAAAGTCAATTGAAGAATACATTTAAGATGTAGAAGAAGAAAGTCGTTGACAATAACCAATAGTTAGAAAATATGGATGTTATGTTACAAAATGATACCAATTGTATAATCCGTGCAAAATCGTGTTAGAAATGTAGATGTTTTACCAATGGTGTTAAAAATCATGTTAACATAATCTTCTATTTCTAGATGTTCCCAAAAAAATACTACTTTTTATATTTCTCTTTTATAATCTTCGTGAAGACAAAAACAAACAATTTTATAGGATGGAGATAGTATTATTCTTAAAGTTACTATTATTCATAAATGTAATAATACAACAACCCAGTAAAATCCCACAAAAGTAATAATAATAGTAAGTATTATTTAATCATATGTAACATTATTATTATTATTATTTAGTTGTATATAACAATATAATAGTAAGTACTCTTCCGTCTCGTAACTTTCTTCCTTGCTTACCTTGGCATGATTTTTAATAAAGTGGAATGTGAGTGGTTGTGACTTGTGATTTATATAGAGAAAGAGAAAAAATATGGGCCACGCAATCATTTCCTTGAAAAGAGAGTGAAAGAAAATTTTTTGACAATCCAAAAAGAAAACTGAGAAGATATTTATGGGATGCAGGGAGTATATTTAATTATATGCAACATTAAGAGGCTATTCATTTGGGTTGGAAAAGTAAATTTCCAACTTTTCTCAACTCATACTTTCTTCCTAAGTTCATCCAATTTCTTCCAATTCTTTTTAGTTTCTTTCAACAACGACTGAAAAAAGTAGATAAATATACAATAACATCTTATACCTAAACTTATAACATACCATCTCAAATGCGAACAAAGATGCAAGATGCATTCTTTTTTAGCCAAAATTAGTTTTCTTACATATTTATTTAAGTGATTATTCAATTGAGTGATTTTTTAACACTTTATTTTTTCCAACATGTTTCAACTCCTTCCAGTTTTTTCTACTCTTTCCAGTTTCGTCCAACATATAACTCTTTTTTACAACTCAAATGAACAGAGCGTAAATAATGTAACATGTTTTAATCGTATAGTAATTATGGAGTATTTATTTGAACATGTATAGTAATTATTATTTAACCATAGACTATTAACATTACTTTTCAACATTTTCTGGATCGATCTGGTTTGGTGTAATAAATGAAGAGAGTGAGGATAGTTATGGTATTTCGAATGTTAAAAAAGACAATGAGTACATTTTGGGACGGCCAAAAAATGTGATTTGGGAACATCGTTTTCGGAGGACAGAGGGATTAGTTTTCTCTGGGAGCTCCTTTTTCTCTTAATACATTGACAGAGCGTGTCCAGCTCGCCATCCATTATTTGTTGGTATTTTGACACATCAAAAGGATAAAGGTGTCCATGGAATAATGTTCCTAAGGTTGCGTTCCGTTCGTTTGATCTGATTTTTTGAACATCTGATCTGGTCTTATCTGATCTGATTACAGTTTAATTAAAGTTGTTTCTGATCTGGCGTGATCTGATTATAATAAAAATAAGTAATAAGCAGAAAAAACAAGTTGAACGAAACGCTGTGTAAGAGAGATTCTTTTCTTGTGTTTGCAGAACTAGCGGATCTAACACAGCTGCAAGTATTAGACTTGCAAGACAATCAAGCAAGTGGGGCCTCATCCATTGAAGGTAAACTCCATCTATTGTGTCAAGCTCCTCGTAAAAACATCATCTAAACAACCCCGCACACACATACACATACTCTATTGTATTTCTGACATGAAACTTTGTGTTTATCAAATTTATTGCAGTACTTTGCAAGTTGAAGAATCTTAAAGAATTGCGTCTGGGAGGAAATTTGTTTTACGGAGACATTGATTCATCATGTCTCCTCCGCAACTTGACCTCCCTCAGAGTTCTAGATCTTTCACTTAATAATTTCACGGGAAAGATAGCCTCTACACTTGCAAATCTTACATCCCTACAATACTTGGACCTCTCAGACAACAACTTTGAAGACACTGTATTTCTGAGTTCTTTTGCCAACTTCTCAAAGCTCGAAACTTTAGCGCTATCAAGAAATCGGCTGCAAGTCCAAACAGAAAATTCATTATGGCAACCCACTTTTCAGTTGCAAACCCTTAAGTTAGACGGTTGTAGTCTAAACAAACCAGAAGGAGCTTTTCCTAGATTTTTGATGCATCAGTATAATCTGAGTCGCATCAATCTCTCCCATAATGACTTGGTGGGGACCTTTCCTACTTGGTTGTTGACCAATAACTCTCATCTTAGCTCTTTGTATCTAAAAAACAACCGTCTTGCAGGAAATCTTCACTTTCCTGTCTATGCTAATTTTTCCTTATCTGAACTCGATGTTTCGAGTAACGAGTTTCAAGGAAAAATTCCTGAAAACATTGGCCACAAGTTCTCCGGAATTTGGTGTTTAAATATGTCCGGGAACCATTTTGAAGGGAATATCCCCATTTCAGTTGGTCATTTAAGAAATTTACGATTTCTAGGTTTGTCGCGCAATAACCTATCAGGAGAATTGCCAAGACAATTGCTCAGTGATTGTGGACTCTTAACGGTTTTGGATCTATCCGGTAACCGACTAGAAGGAGACTTAATCCCAGAGCATATGAACCTAACAGAGTTGGTCTTCCTAAAGCTAAGCAACAATATGTTTGGTGGAACAGTTAAGGGTGCACTCTTAGAGGCTTTGGGTCAATCACCCTACTTGAAGTGCTTGGATATCTCACACAATAAGATAATTGGTCAGCTCCCTAGGGGGATCGGAAACTTGAGCAACTTGCAAGTCTTATCAGCATCAGGGAACTTATTGGAAGGCCAAATTCCGACAGAAATATGCAACCTTTCATCCCTACAATACTTGGACCTCTCTCAGAATAACTTTTGTGGACCAATTCCTTCATGCTCCAATTTCATGTATTTAGAGTATATCCATCTGGACAAGAACCGCCTCACAGGGCAATTGCCACATGAGTTGTCAAGCTGCTCGAATCTAAAACTACTCGACCTGAGGTATAATCATCTTTCAGGCAATATTCCGTCATGGATATACATGCTTTCAAGCTTAACAATGCTCTTGTTGGGAGGCAACAATCTTCACGGCCGAATTCCACATCAGATGTGTCAGTTAACATCTCTCAATCTATTAGACCTATCAAGGAACAGGTTATCAGGTGGTCTACCTGTATGCTTCGGGAATATGTCACTTGGGATGAGAATGTTTGATTATCACGACCACCAATTGTATTATGGGACCACCATATTTGGCGTTTATATTAGATATTCTGTTAATCCTATAACATTAGTAGTTCAGTTCCTTGCGAAGAACAATCATCTTTCCTACAAAGGTAGCAATCTTCAGCTTATGTCAGGATTTGATTTGTCTTGCAACAATCTCACTGGGGTCATTCCACCAGAACTGGGACACTTGACATATGTCCATTCGATTAACTTGTCACATAACTTCATATCCGGATCCATCCCAAACACCTTCTCCAACTTGAAGCAGATCGAGAGCTTGGACCTCTCTTTCAACAACTTGAGTGGCACAATCCCTTATCAACTTGTGGACCTTAACTTCTTGGAGGTCTTTAATGTGTCCTACAACAACTTGACCGGAAGAACACCTGATACAGGACAGTTTGCTAGCTTCGTTGAAAGCAGCTATCTCGGAAACCCCGGACTCTGTATCTATGCCGTGAACAAACCTTGCACCCCTGAAAATGAGATGCCTCCCTCTAGTCCCAGTGAAGAAGATGACGGAGATGCAGGGATCATCGACATGGGAGACTTTCTATGGAGTTTTGGGGTGTCCTCTATCATAATGTTCTTAGCAACAATTGCAATCCTCTGCATCAACCCTCACTGGCTTAATTTTGTTGACAAGTATATTCTTTGGCGTTTGCCATTCCCAATGCCATAGTTTGTCTTTTGTATCTCAAAAGTATATTATATTTGTAGTGTAAGACTTTAGTAGGTACTCTGTATCTTGTTGCAGAGTAATAAATTGATGTAATAAAACACTTTTAATTCTCTATGATATGATTTTGTGTTACAATGCACAAAAGAAAAAAGGGATTTGGTTGGTTATTAATACATCAAGCTTTCATTAATCTTATATTTTTTTAGTTAACTAGATGTTTGCCTTGACTGTTCTTTTAATGTTTGAAAGTCTAATTTTAGAAATGGCCCGGTTCCATGGCCACTGGAATCCAGTGGCCACGGAAGTCACTGCCACCCTACGGAGCTCCGTTCATAAAATTGATGATTCCTACCTATGATTCTTTTGACACAAGTTTTGGGTGTCATAATATTTTATTGTGACTCTATAATTCACTCTTTGGATCCGAAGTGATTCATACCCTATTGATTCTCACAAACACCTTGTTGCTTCTTTCTCCTTCTCTCCACTGTTTTGAAAAACAACGAAATGATAGAGCGAGTAATTTTTTTTAATGAAGTATACTTTATAATATATCATTTCAATTTTGTTCTAAAATATTTACAAATCTTTATTTTATGCACCCTCATTAGACAGTTTAAGAATCTGATAATTAATTACCATTTCCATGTAGCATCATTTTCCTTGCCCAATAAATTAAAGTACTCTCTCCGTCCATAAATGTTTAATAACATATTGTTTTAATTTTATACATAATTTTTATGTTATAATTTTATACATATAATCACATAAAATAAATTAAAAATAACTTAATGCAAACATTGTGAATTGGAACTAGAAAATGTTTTAGGGGCAGAGACTATTCTTTTTAGATCAACGGGTCACCCATCCTAATACTACTTTCGCCCAAGTACGTTTAACTCGGAGTTCTGATGGGATGCGGCGCATCAGTGCTGGTATGATTTCACCTTCGCGGTGACAATATGAATTTCCAAGAAATTGCATTCTCACTTGACAATGGACATAATAAGGTTTTGAGCAATGCTATGTTCACAAACAGAATGGTCACAAACTTCACAAACTTACTATTTGTAGTTTAAATTTTCATTTTAATTTTTTTTAGACTATTTAATTTTCTTTATAGAAATTCACAAATAGTAAGTTTGTGAAGTTTGTGACCATTGTGTTTGTGAACCAAGCATTTTCCTAAGGTTTTAAGTCTTCAATTGCTTTAAGCTTGAGAGTTGACTTTCTCATCTTCCATATGATCTTCTACGATTGCCAAGAAAATCCTCGCCTCCCCCCAAATGACAATGTTAGGGGTACACCAACATGGAATACCATAATTGTACACCAACCTAACACAGATACAAATACACATAATATCTGTGCAGACACAAACATTATGTGTTTGTGTGTGTTATTGTTATCTTGATATACAAATGGATACCTGAAATTGGTGTACCCCTAGGTTAATTCAAATAAAATTGATAATTGCTTTTTCTCAAATTAGGTTTTGTACTTTCAAATTAGGGTTATTGTTGTAATTTTTGAAAATTCATGTAAAATCTCAAAAATTTTGGGAATTTTGACATGAATTTTTCTTGAGTGTGATTTTTCTTTCAAGATTTAATTATAAATTGATTAAATTCTATGATAATGAGTTATTGCTCATTTATTTATTTATTTATGCATTTTATATTGGTAGTCTAATGATTTTTTTAAGATTGTTTTTGAGTTTCTAAGCATTGGGAATTTGGGATAATGTCATTTGATGCCTTACTATAAATACAGTTCAATTTTATATTCCTAGCCCATTTTTTTTATCTATTTTCAATCCCCTTTTTGTGTATAGGAATTCAAGAAGATTTGATGATGAACTAAACGCCATATCGGAGTTGGCTAAGAATGCAGAAACCGAAAAGAGATGATGAAGATAATAAAGGCATATCAGGTAAAGTTTGACATCAAATTCTCGTAAAATGCATTGAATCATTTCCACTTAAAAAAGCAGTCTTGTTGTCTAGAGATTTTCCCCGGTCCGAGACATAACTCCTTCCATTATGACCTTCTACATACATTAAAAGTCAAACGAATTTGAACATAAAGTATGTTCTTCGTTCTTGTTAGAGATAGAAGAGAAAGCATGATTGAAGAAGGAAAGTGTTAGAGACAGAAAAAGGAAGCGGAATTGAAGAAGGAAACTGAATCCCTTTAGGATTATGTTTAATATCTTTCCTAGTTGGATTAGGTTTACTATTTAGTATCTTTCCTAGTTTGTTTAATTCTTATTTTAGTGGGAATAGAAATTTTCTTGCTTACTTTACCTTCTTCCTATATAAAGAGGGTTAGATCTTTGTATTCAGAAACAAATTTCACAAGAGAGAAATACAAGAGAATTTCCTCCCAAATAATTCTTTCATGGTATCAGAGCTAGTTTTGAATTCTTGAGACCTCAAACACACTTCTTCCCCTTCCGGTGGGCATATTCAATTCAATGCCTACCGGCGGGATATTGTAATTTTTGATTTTCTTTAATTGTTCTCCCTCACTAAAAAATATCATGAAACCTAGAAATTTCCACGGCTACCGTTCACGATCGCCCGGCATCGCGTCCATCGATCGTTGCTCAGTTTCGTCGCCTGTTACTGCTGTCGAGTGCCAAAACGGTTGACCGTTGCTTTAGAACGGTCGAGCACATCGATCGTCCCGTCGACAGTCTCCTGTTGATGGTCTTTTGGATTCGGAACACGACTGATCCAGCCTTGAGATCCAGCATATCATATGTGGAAAAAGCTTCAGATCTATGGAATGATTTGAAGGCTCGCTTCTCTGTGGTTAATGGACCGAGGGTTCAGCAGTTGAAGTGGGATTTGGCGGAATGCCAACAGAAGAATCTCACCATAATGGAATATTATGGGAAGATGAAGAGGTTGTAGGACGATCTTGCAGGTTTGGAGCAGTTCCCAATTAGTACGTGTAGGAATTGCACGTGGGACATGCCGGAGAAGCTTGTGGAACGATCTTGTAGGTTTGGAGCAGTTCCCAATTTGTACGTGTAGGAATTGCACGTGGGACCTGTTAGAGAAGCTTGCGCAGATGCGCGAACCGAGGGAACGTTTTTTTATGTCCAAGCTTTGCATGTTGAACTCCCATGCTCCAGCTTGAGAGGGGGTGTTAGAGATAGAAGGAAGCGGGATTGTAGAAGGAAAGTGTTAGAGACAGTAGAAGGAAGCGGGATTGAAGAAGGAAACTAAATCCCTTTGAGATTAAGTTTAGTATCTTTCCTAGTTGGATTAGGTTTACTATTTAGAATCATTCCTAATTTGTTTAATTCTTTTTTTAGTAGGAATAGAAATTTCCTTGTTTACTTTACCTTCTTCCTATATAAAGAGGGTTAGATCTTTGTATTCAGAAACAAGTTTCACAAGAGAGAAATACAAGAGAATTTCCTCCCAAATAATTCTTTCAGTTCTATTTTTAATATATGCAAAAAGTTCATAATGTACAAATACATAGTGCATAACAATGTGAGTTAACTCTTGCCTCCGTCAATTCGTTTTGGAATTTCAAGCATGTTTTAATACTTTCTTTTCCCTTGTGACCTATGTAGTGCACAAGAAACGAAGGGCGGCCCCAGAAGATATATCTGTTGGGAATTAAACACACAACACACACAGATATCTGCGAGAATCAAGAGAGAAACGGAACACAAACGACACACAAGAATTTAACGTGGTTCGGTTTCCCTAATCCACGGCTACAACAGGAGGATTTTCTTATTTCACTTGTGGTGTCGATTACAAGTACAAGTATGCAATATATATAGGAAGAGTGCATCTAGGGTTTCGTAAAATGGGCCGGGCCAAAAGTCAAGCCCAAGCCTCCACAAACCCAACATTCTCCCACTTGGAGGCTTGATAGCCATCAACTGCCATCCACCACGATTCCCTGTACATCGAGTAATCTTCCTCAGCTCTCCTATTGCAGCGGCCCTAACATCAGACAACTGAAAGGCCCGTTGAAGCTCTCCCAAGCTCCAACACATCAGTCACGGCAAAATCTGCCCTTGACTCGTCCTCGGTCCCTACCGGCACCCACTGCAGACGCACACTGCCGGATCCTGGAACATCTTGAGAACAAACACTCTCCATACTCAGCAAGAAATTTTCTAGAGATGTTCCAACAGCTGGAATAGTGGTTCTCCTGACCCACTGTCTTCTAGGCAACTTGGCTGAAGCGCCTCTTGAGCTCCCACTGCCACAAATACCTCTGACTGGCCCCCTTGAACCTTTCCACGCTCGTTCATCCT